CCCCAAAACCCCAAAACCCCATTGCTTTCATATGTTTATCTAGATTATGAAATTAAAGATTAAATCATCTATTTTGAGAATCATATATTTCTGTTCAAGTTTTCAAAAATTCATTATAATTTAATAATCTCCTCTGCATTTAAACTCTTATTTACAGATAGCTCTCCTCTTACTTTATTCCTAGGTTCTTAAGATTAGTTGAAGATAGACTTTAGCGTATCAATCTTAATGTCTCTCTTTAAATTGATGGCTAATTCTTCTTAAAAGTCATAATTCTGCTTACTATAGCTCGAGTAGCCTCCAGGGGGCCTAATATTATTCCTGCTACTTGATAGCTTATCCATTACTAGGTCTTAATTGAACCTTTAATTCTTGGTATTTTGTGAGGATGTGGATATTCTATCAGGTATTTGTATCTGAGATGAAAAATTTAAAGCCGTGTTCAATTTTGATCTAATTCTATCTGGACTCAAAGACAATTTATTCGCTACTTCTAATGAATCATTCTGAAACTTTGAAGAAAAAGGACTTGATTGCACATAGTTAATGGATAATTAGGGAAAGTTTTCAATCGATTCATTATCCTTATCAATAGATTTTAATTTTATGTTAGGTGAATTATTGTCTTCATTTACTTTGGTGGGATTAGTGTTATGATTAGCTATAGGAACTTTTTCTGCTTGTTTTTACTTTTTATCAATTTTGACAGTGATGCTAAAGTTGTTGAATTAATACATATTGCTATTATTGCTGTTATTCACTGTATTTTTATGGTCTATTGGGCTATAAGCTCTGTAAGAGTTTTAGTCAGATGTCTTATGGGCAGGGGGTAAATTAGGTATAGGCTAAGAGTTGTGATTCACTTGTGAATTTTTATCAATAATATCTGATATAGTGATGTATTCCCCATCCTTTTTACTTCTTTTCATATTTTGATAAGGACTTTGACTCTCCTCTGATTCCTACTGAATTTATTTCTCTTTAAGTTATCTATTCAATCTTCTTTCTAATTTGACAGACTTGTTTATAGTAGGTACTGCAGTTCCACAGCGAGGCTAATCCACAAGGCTCCTAGCTCCTTCTAAAGACTTCTGTGTTATTTTGACATCATTTGAGTTCTTCACGGGTGAGATCTGATGAATAAATGAGTTGAGGGTTTTGTTCTAAATATTTCTACGATTTATCATAAATGCCTGATCAGACCCATCACTGTTATTTTTAAGACTACAGTTCCTTCTTTTCATTGCTTTCATTCCTCCGTTATAAAATGTTTAGCTCATTTATGTAGTAGGCCTAGTGATTACAGGCTTTTTAGCTTCGACTTAGGGTTATGATTAGGTGAAGTTGTTCTACTTTTGTTTTATCTTTTTAAGTTTCTGTAAAAGCTTATCCTTTTTGGCTTGAGTTAAATTGCTTTGGTTAAAACTTGGAAGACTAATATTAGATTGATCTTGATGAGTCACTCCTGCAGAATTAATGATCTAGAGCTATGAGAAATCTTGAATTTAACTCTTCTTGCGCTTTTCTCTGATCTATTGAAGCTTCCTCTTTTACTCAAATATTAGCTCGTAGATATTTGCCTGTTATAGCTTTTAAGACTGATTCTAGTTCTCACTAAATGGAAGGTTCCTTCCATTTGAAATGATTTTTTATACTTTGGACATATTTTCTTAGGAGACTTGACTTGAAAATTATGTCCTGTTGTTAGAATTCATATTAGCACTCCCTTGTGATCTATTGTTGGGGTTGCTTCTATTTTACTCTTAAATTCGATATTATTTTTGGGTTCTGCCAAGGACTTGCTGATCTAGGTTTATTAACTATATTCTATCAAAATATGGTCGCTTGTGAATCTGCCTCTACTTTTAGAGATATTTACTCACGTCCGGAAATTTGTTTGGCAGCTTTTATTTAGGCAAGGATTCCGTCTGTCTCTATTCAGAGGCACTATTCAATCCTTGATTAAGTAAAATTTGTCTCCTTTAAATTACTTTCTTTTCATTGCTTAACACCTGAGTTTTCTAAAAATTGACTATGTTTTATAGAATAATTACAAGATTTTGAATGATGTATTAATTTTCCAGTTGAGTCTCGTAACTCCCGAAATTCTTGAAAAGGTTAAATATCCCCATGATTCTATTATTTAGAATTTTCCTATCTTCTTCCTAGTAATAATTAATCTTATTTTAAAATCTACCTCCAAATCATCTAAGTTTTATTTTTAGTCATGATGCAAAAGATTATTTTCAAATGATAAATCTTTTTCTTCCTCTTCTTTTTAAGCATCTTTCTTGATTAGCTATTGAGTATTAGATTAAAAATAGTACTTACCCCAAATAACTCATCAAGAGTTCTCACCTATTTGTTAAAGAATTCATTCCTCTGTGAGTGCATATTTTGTTTGCTTTGACTCTACGATTTATCTTTTTGCTTAAATTCATCATATTTAGCCTTCCACTCTTTGAAATGAGGATTGTAGAGTCTCATGAAAAGCACTTCAGAGTTTATAGTATTAAATCCAAACACTCTCTCTTTCAACTTCTCCTCCTAAATTTTCTTATTTCTCTCTATTATTCTTTCATGCTAATCAAGCTTTGGTTTCATAGCAGCCACAACATCTTTATCAGAGTTCTTTTTATACCTAATATCAAGATTTTAGAGTCCAAACCAGTTGTCATCTTCTAATCCATAGTCATTCATGTAGTCCTCGTCAGAACTAAGAGTTTCTATCTATATCGCTTCATTAGGATTATTTTCAATGATTATTGAAGCGTTTTATTGCTATACATTTTCTTGGCATTAGCTCGATGAATTCCTTAAACTGTCTCTAATGGAACTTTTATTGATAAATTTTGACTTTTTAATATTATTCTAGCTCTGCTTAGCAGGTCTGTGAGATGTGTTGCTGGAATTACTATTTAACCTCAACTTAGAGCTCTTGAAGTCTAGCTTGTCAAGTATTTTAAGTTTATTAATGATCTTTTGTTCTTCTTTAGGGTCGTTTAGTGAGTTTTAAGATCTCAAAACTTATGAGTTTGTTTTCGCTTTAGTTTCTTCCTGGTTTGCTTTGATTTCTTCTTCAGATGAAGTTTACTATTCAGATTCTTCAGAGTCAGAGTCATTATTTTCTTCTAAGTCTATTACTTTTACTTGAATCTATGACTGTTATTGTTTTTAATTGATTTTTATACCGATAATGTCTCTTATTGTCTTTTTTGCTTGCTTCCTCTTCAATTATATCTACTTTGCCAGCTCAATTCTCGTTAATCTTTCCTATTCTTAGATCATGCAGTATTCGAAAAGTGAGTGAGAAAAGTGAACACCGAACTCCCTCAAGTTTAACTCATCAAATTAATTCGTCTCTCTGTCCTTATTATAGTAGCCCAGAGCACTACATTCAATTGTGTAGCAATTTTGAATGTTGAAAGCATTCCAGAGCGCCTATCTTGCACATCCTTATTTATACTGCTCAAATCTGAATTTGCATGAGAAATATCTGAACATTTCTGATCTCTCTGAAAGAAGCTTTGGCATAATTCTAATTTTGAGATACTTCCTTGAGTGAAGTGGATAGTAGGGAGCATACATAAATATAGACTTCCTTCCAGAATGCTAATGAATATCAAATATTGCAAGGATTTTAGAGCCACCGTACATATACTTATCTAGCTTTTGCTGCTTTATAATATCATTTATGATTTATTTGACTGAGAATGTTTCTGGATTTAGCTATTCACTAGGATTATCATATGACCTATTCATATCGCGACCAAGAAATGAAGTTCTATTATTCCCAACTACAACTCCATCGGGATTAATCATAGGTATGATCTTGAATACCAAATTGTCTCTCAAGTAATTTGCTATCTTATCCTTGCTTAAAAGGTACTGAATAATACCATGAATCAGATATGAGGAATTAGTCTCACCTGGGTGGACTCTAGATATAATGAAGACATATTACTTATCATTTGTTTAAGATTGCTAAATATTGCTAGCAATATCTTTGTTAAACTTTTCAAGATGATTAGTTATTGTAACAAGAGGAATGTCTATCCCTCCTAGTGTCTTTGTATAAAAGTTATAATCAAATATCTTAAAATCGTCAGATTTATTCTAGAGGACATTCAGCCTTTGGACCTCAAAGGAGTGATTTAAAAAGTTTAAAAGCATTGAAAATGTGTATGGGGTTGAGAAAGCAAATGAAACTTCATCAGCATCAAATTCAAATTCAAAATCGAAAGATAGTTCATAATAGGTTATTTAAGGCTTATGTCTAGGTACAGAAGTTTGAGGCTCACTTCCAGCTCCATTTTAAGTGCCTTAATTGAATGAAATATCTCTATTAACCTTACTATAGCAATACTTGATGTTTTCTCCTCCTTTATACCAGCCTTGGCCAGTCTGTCTAGATTTTTATAAACTCATTATACTTATTTAGAGACCTTAGAGATACAATGAATTTCTCTTATTCATGTTTACAATGTTAAACTTGACTCTAGTCCCCTTCAATCTATTTTGAACCTTGAAATAATACCATTGAAACTTCCCAATAGAATTAGAATCTGGCCTCAGAAATAGATCGTATTCCCCTTCTTTAGTCTTGAAAGCAAGATCTAAATTTCCGCTTTCAAACGCTGAATTGAAAACTAGACATTCCAAGGGCGATAATTTTACATCATATTTATGTTATTCATTTTTTCTGAGAACCTTTGGATTCATGCCAATAAACTGAAATTCCTTGTAATCTATGAAACTTGAACCCATTCCAGTGTTAATAATAGCTGTGTCTGATTGATAATCTCCAAAGATGTCGCTCAATATCTTGTCGTATTTAAACTTTCCATGCTCATAGTTCTTGGGGAACTTAAACTAATAACTCTGCCCCAGACAACTTGACATGAAGCTTTTCTTATCATAAAATTCTCCCATACTGAGATCGTTTTGCATTACCTCTTAAACATGAAATTAAGTTAGCCATTTGTTGGAAAATTGCTTGTGCACCTAGAAGGAATCCTTAGGCCTTTTCTCCTGATAAATAAGGATGTCCTTTCCTTTTTCAAGTGAGTACAAATGCAGAGGATGATCAACAAAGTCAAAATACAGAGGGATAGGGGGACTTTGACAATCGATTTGAGGCTTCCAACCGAAAGCCATATCAGGTTCCAAAGACATCCCTTCTTTTATCAAGGGCATAGGGTTTTCGTGCAGGTCATCCAGTGTAAATCTGAATTTCATTTAGGGGGAGACACTTCTTGACACCCCACCGCTAATTTGCCTAGATTGCAGTAGATCAGCTATAAAGGACAATTGATCGTCGTCTTCTTGTTTACGGAATTAGAAATTGTCTTCATCTTTCTCTATCTCTTCGAACTCATCGTCAATGCTGCTCTAAACTAACAATTATTTCGCTATTCAAATTACTATATCGATATGTAATGCCATTTGCTGACGATGAAAACGAACTACCTTCACCTTTTCCTTGATTAGTCTTTTCTCTTTGCTTTCGCAATCTTATTTCTTATTTATGGATTTGCATTATTATCAAAGATTAATTTTTAATTCACAAAAAATATATAAACTTTGATTACTTTTATTTGATGGGGTTTTGGGGTTTTGGGGTTTTGGGGTTTTGAACTTCCTTA